GGGCAAGGCAAACGCCCTACCCGCTGTGCTATCGCTTCAGCCCCAGCCCCAGCTCATTTTTTACTTTGTCCAGGGAGTATTTCTCATCAGTCAAAATCCAAAGGGTTCCTTTTTCTTCTGAGCCCTTGATTTCCTGCTGGTTCATTTCTAGTACAAACTATAACTCTCAAAAGCAATTTTTCTTAGTTTGCAACTGCATCTATTACATTTTTACTTGTGCCTTTGTAATGATTTTTTTGGGCTTGCAGTTGGTACTGGCTAATCATCATACTTACCACATACATGCACTGCACTGTCCTCCTGCTGTTCATCGATTTGTTCGAGCGGGCCCAGCAACGTCTCCATTGTGAGACTTGTTGTTACTGTGTTTGGCTTATGGAATACGTCACGGGGAGCTTGCCAGGCTTTGCCATGCAGGCGAGATACTCTCGGTAGCTTGCCGGGCTCTCTGGGAGGGGCGGAGGAATCGAACTTGGGTCGGCCGCGTACAAGGCAAATGCCCTACCACGGTGCTATCACTCCAGCCCGACCACACACATAAAAATAACGTTTCAAGGACACAGCGGACTCTTCATTTTATCTTACCAAAGAATTAGGAATATCTGACATTTTCTCTTAATCAATAAGGGAGAGGAAATCTTACTGGCCTGTGGAAAATGACAAGATAAGATCAGATAAATGTGTATTCTCGATGAGAATACTATTTTAAACATTTCCTATAGTTTGAGATGTATTTAAAATCAACGTAATTGCTAATCATTTTGATATTACATGGGGTTTCTTAGAGGTCTTGTCCTGCAGGAATGAGCTTGTCCATGGACTGTTGGGCTGGCTCTCATATGCTGAGGGCAAGGAGCTTGACTCTGCCCTCAGGTTTCACATTCTGCTCTTTTTCTTCGGAAGAATCAGAACATAGCAGGCTGAAAGTTTTCTTTCGAAATAAAGTGGTACACTCTTGCTCGAGCGGGCCCAGTAACGTCTCCATTGGAGACTTTTACTGTGTTTGGCATATCGAATACGTCATGGGGAGCTTGCCAGGCTCTGCCATGCGGGCGAGATACTCTCGCGGTAGCTTGCCGGGCTCTCTGAGAGGGGCGGAGGAATCGAACTCGGGTCGGCCACGTTGGCTGCGTGCAAGGCAAACGCCCTACCGCTGTGCTACACTCTTACTAGCCAAAAACACTTCCGTTTTTCTAACCTTGCGAAACAGCTAATGAGACACAAGAGATTTTTTGTTCCTCTCCACCTAGTACCCTGCCGCAGAAAGGTGGGGCTAGAGCGCCTCCTGGTGGAGATGGTAACACGTGCACGGGGCTCTCCAGAATTGCACTTGCCCTTCCATGCTACAGGAATAAAGGACGTGAACACAAACACTGTAGATAACAATAAAAGAAACCCAAGGGAAAGGGAAACATTTTAGGAGTGGTTGACTCACTTCTCTGAAACTTAAGTTTCGTTACCTTTTGCTGTTTATTCTCCAGTTTCTTTGGATTTTTACTGTGTTGATTAAACAAAGGTTGTTTAAGAGCAAACTTGCACTGAAACCTACCGACCGGAGTTCCGATCAAAGTCAAGTTTCGGACCGAGACAACGGTTTCTTTGAGTGGTAATAACGAGATGCTGATACTCTGCTGAACAAACTGAATGAACACATTTACCAGGCGATGGGCATACTGTGTGGTGCTTCATCTCTGCATTGTATCTTGAGTGCTTTGAGGCCACACCCAGTGGTGCTGGGGTTACCTGTGGGTTGTTTTCAGTGGTGCCATGCGATGCTGGGTACCACACCTCCAGATCTGATGTCCCATGTGCCACAACTTGCCTGATTATGAAGCATCACATGCATACTGGCTTAAAGCAAACTGTAGCACTGTCCGCCGTTTGTTATCGATTTGCTCAAGTGGGTACCAGCAACGTCATCATTATGAGGTTAATTCTAGTATTTCCAAGTTGGTTTGTTTTTACATTAAAAGTTCAGGTGCATGGGGCTGGAGCGATAGCACAGCGGGTAGGGCGTTTGCCTTGCACGTGGCCGACCCGGGTTCGATTCCCAGCATCCCATATGGTCCCCTGAGCAACGCCAGGGTAATTCCTGAGTGCAGAGCCAGGAGTAACTCCTGTGCATCTCCGGGTGTGATGACCCGAAAAGCAAAAAAAAATAAAAAGTGTAGGTACAAAAGTATTGATAGACTAATGATGCAGAGAAATAGAATTAAAATGTATTTTTTTCTATTTTTTTTTCTTTTTGGGTCACATCTGGCGATGCACAGGGGTTACTCCTGGCTCTGCTCAGGGGACCATATGGGATGCTGGGAATCGAACCTGAGTTGGCTGTGTGCAAGGCAAACACCTTCCCCGCTGTGCTATCGCTCCAGCCCCTGTAATTGGTTTTAAATGACACACAAAATGACTTTTCAGCAATCTAATGTCCTACAATTACATTCAAATCAGGTATTTATTAAATACTCATAACTGTTCTGGTGCTGAATATATTGTAAATGCTCAAAATCTGGATTATTTTACTTTCCAGGGGTTAAAAAGATGGATGTTCAGAATTACCCCTGATCTAGCAAACCATACAGGGCTTACATACTTGGATGTATTGACAAGAAAAGTAACTCATGATTTAATAAATTTTTAGAGATTCTACACTAGATGGCACCCAGGGTCAGGAGTGAAGCTGTAACTTGCAAAGGAAAGCCGATGTTATTTTAGAATTTCCTAGTGGATCCAAAGAGAAATGCTAAAGATTTTGAAAAGAATGAGGTTGCTCTAAGTGATAATTCAAATGTCTTTTTTGTTGGAATTGTGGAGTGAGGCTACATGAGGGAATGTTCAAGTGACAGCCACACGGTCAATTGCCAGTCGAAAAGCCGAACGTTCTTTCAAATGATGAAATTGTGGTACTCAGGTGAACACAGAGCCTTATGCTTTAGAATGAGGGAGCTTGTGTCAAGTGTGTTTATGATAAAGATAGAGGATTTCTATGCAGAGATAGAATGGAACTCTACCTTTATAGCTGGCAAGTTTTGAAATAATTTTATTAGGTCTAGCTTGGGTTGGAGCTCTGGCACAGCGGGTAGGGTGTTTGCCTTGCGCGTGGCTGACCGGGGTTTGATTCCTCTGTCCCTCTCGGAGTACCCGGCAAGCTACCCCGCCTGCACGGCAGAGCCTGGCAAGCTCCTTGTGACGTATTCGATATGCCAAAAACAGTAATAACAAATCTCACAATGGAGACGGTACTGGTGCCTGCTTGAGAGTCGATGAACAACGGGAGGACAGTGCTACAGATCTAGCTCAGTGACGGGAATTGTAAGACATCATTTCTTAGTTAGATGACCCACTGCCTAAAAGGAAAATGTTGGCAGGCAGCATTACTAGCAGAAAAACAATTTATCCCCCAATAATTAGCATGTAGGCAGGAAGGCAACCTTCAGAATCATTTTAAATGTAGAAGGAAACTGAGAACTCTGTAGCTGCCCACTTATAAATGAAAACGATTTTTGAAATTGCACTTGAATAACGGTTTTTGGCAGAAATGGAGCTATCTGTGACAGGCGGATAGAACTAGAAATAAAGAAAATAGACAGACTATCCTGGGATACAGGTGTTTTTGAAAGTCAAGTGTATCTAGTTTGCACAATGCCTAACAAACACCATTCAAAGAACGGAATGCTTGAGCAGCCATTTCTGTTCTTGGAAAACCTAAGGGGAAACACAGTATTAACACTCCTAATGGAAACTGTATGTATTCATTTACCGATTAAATTCTTATTGCTAATCTTGGCCCCCCTGCACGACTAGCAAATGCTTCTGATTCTTTTGCTTCTGAAACGTTTCTCTTAAACTCATAAAAATATGGACTTTATTCAGAAAATGTAGGTCAGTTAGCAATCATCATCCTTTGTAAATTTTCAGGCTGTGCATTTTATTTCACTCCCCCCCCTTTTTTTGCTTTTTGGGTCACACCTGGCAATGCACAGGGGTTACTCCTGGCTCTGCACTCAGAAGTTACTCCTGGTGGTGCTCAGGGGACCATACGGGATGCTGGGAATTGAACCCGGGTCGGCCGCGTGCAAGGCAGATGCCCTACCCGCTATGCTATCTCTCCAACCCCTATTTCACCCCTTTTAAAAACATACTTTATTTTTTGTTTGGGCCTGGTAATGCTCAGGGCTTACTCCTGGCAGTGTTCGAGGGACCACATGCGATGCTGGCTATCGGACTGAGATCAGCCGCATACAACATAAAGGAAAGGGAATATTATTGTAGATATTTGAACCTATACAATTTAGGTTCTTAATCTTAAACACTGAGATTAGTTAGCATGTCGACTCTTAAAAGATCAAAACAATATCTGGTAGATTTTAAAGAAGTTTTGTTCTTACTATCTGTATGCAATTGAGCAATAAATTAGTTAAAAATTATAAACCCAAGATATCAGCACATCTTATATTTCCAATTTCATAAACTCTATCATGAAATTGTATATTTATATAAATTTAATAGAAATGCAATGTACACAACCTTACATTATTCTTTTAAAGCCAATAAGATGTGAAACACAGTATAGACACATTAGAAACAAGTCCTGGGCCTGAACCACAGGACAGTGGGTAGGGCATCTGCCTCGAACACCACTGAAGGAACTGGACGGGCTGGCACCTCATTAGTGCCCCTGAGCCCTGCCTCCAAAACCACTTGTCATCTTGACAAACTTACACGAAGTCTAAATGCATTGTGCCTATGTGGAGTAACAATCATTTATGGAAGTTTTTTCTATTTTAGTTTTTGGGCCACATCCAGTCCCCATTTATGAAAAATTTCAAATATATGTCTCATGTAACAAAACATTAAGCCCCAGAACTTTATATAGGACGTTGGTTTAGTGGTTTCCAGAATTTTAGATTCATGGAATAGATTTTTTTAAAAAAGTAGAGACCAACTATTCATATTGTCCAAGTAAGGATACGTAAATCAACTAAAACTACTATCAACAATTCATAAAAGAAAGGATATTTTAATATCACAGAAGATACAATAACATTGTAATAAAAATTAAATCCAAGGTGATCACGTATGTATTTTTTCCTTTGTGGATGCTGAAAATGAAATACTGACCTAGAACTGTGGACCAACTGTTTCAAATATCATTTAAACCCCCCAGTTAAGTCTCAGATGTCAGTGACATCGTCAGAAATAAGTAGTGTTAGAATCAGAGCAAGTTTAGCTTCTGACAATCAGAACTCTCACAGATATCTTAGTACTAAGCATATTGCTCATTAGGAAACCTTAATGTTACCGTAAATCCAAAGTCCTTAGCAACTGAAATAAAATCAAACAGTTTCAACTGATTTGTAATAGAAAGAGTTGTTGCAATTAGAGAAAAATAAGCCCAATCACAAATTATAATTCTGTAACATGGCATAAACAGTACTACTTAAACAGTGAGTTTTTTTAAGTTTCTTAAAATATTTCAACTGGCTGGTCCAGGTTCAATTTCCAAACCCATATGGTCTCTGGAACACTGGCAGGAGTGATCCCTGAGTGCAGAGCCAGGACTAACTCATGAGCCTCACCGAATGAAGTTCAAAAACTGAAAACCAAACTGAAACAAAAAAATCTTACTTCAGAATTCACTGTTACGTAAATAAAACATAGGAAAAAGATTAGAGTGGTATGGGTGATCCTCTCTGCCTACAACATTAGTCAAATGAAAGAGCAGCAGGGAACTTGAGCGTGCTTAAGTGGGAATTGTATCTGCACGTGCTGATATCGTGCAGAAATACCTCACCACAAGAATCACATTTTACTTTCTAGATTAAGCAGCATGAAACTTAAAAGAATTCTGATTAGAAAGAACGTAAAACAATCTTAACATGACCCTAGAAATACACTTATTTTTGATTTTCAAATTGCTAGAGTAGATCTGTATTTCAATATAAAATGACGATTTTCTGGTTCACCATAGAAATACACCCCACTAATCATTTACCTCTGAAAAATAGCTAGCATTAGTAATTCCTTTCCTTCATTGACCACAAGAATACCTGACTACTTAAAAATTCAAAGTTAAACACAGTTTAGTCTAAGTTAAAAGGATGTCCCTTTATCAGAAGCTTTGGCTGTAAATGCACTTTTCCCTAAAATGATTTTTCCTTTAGAACAGAAATCCTCTGCTGACCCATTCCTACTCGTTAAAAAGAGGCAGGAGGGGTCAGAGAGATAGTACAGTAGGTAGGGCCCTTGCCCTGCACAGGCCAATCAGAATTTAATGCTGACCTCCCATATGGACCCAGGGCCCCAACCAGGAGTAATTCCTGAGTACAGAGCCAGGAATAACCCCTGAGCACTGCCTGGTGTGGCCCCCAAACAAACAAAAAAGAGGCAGTGAAGATCATGGAAAAAACTCACTCAAAATCTTATGAAATCAGTTTGTAGTAGTTACATTTTATGCTAAAGATGTGTCTTACACATCCAGCTCAACCATGCGGGCTACATGTACATTAAAATATTACATGTACATGTACATTACATGTACATTAAAATATGAACTTGGTTTGTAAAAATCCTAAGTGCACATTTAAACAAATCCATGATCAGAATCTAGGAACCATGGTTTTGATGATACTTGTGAATTCTATGGTAATTCTGAATACGAGCTAGTAGAAACATTGGGAATCCAAGTATTATAAAATAAGAATGTTTACCTTATTAATTCCAGAAGGAGCGATAGCACAGCGGGTAGGGCGTTCGCCTTATAAGCGGCCAACATAGCCGACCCGAGTTCAATTCCTCCGCCCCTCTCGGAGAGCCCGGCAAGCTACCGAGAGGATTCGATATGCCAGACACAGTAACAACAAAGTCTCCAATGGAGACGTTACTGGGCCCGCTCGAGCAAATCGACGATCAACGGGAGGGCCTTTACCTTTACCTTACCTATTATCATGTATAGTTATGATTTTTCCTTCTAACCTATAAAACCTAAGAATATAAGTTTTATCGCTCCTACTTGCTTCCGCTTTTTTTTCTAATTCAGTAATAATAAATGGAATGTTTCCATTTAATCTGTGAAAAATATCACATAAACTTAACCTTCAATTTCTTGCTTTTAAGATCCCTCAGTTTAAAAAAGGAAATAATATTAACTTTCTCAGCCAAACACTCTTCTTTTTTGCGGGGTGTGGGCAGGGGCTACACCTGGCAGTGTTCAGGGCTTACTTCTGGAGCTCTGCACTCAGGGATCACTCCAGGCAGGCTTGGGGGACCACATCGGGGGCTGAGGACTGAAATTGGGTCCGTCAAGTACAAGGCAAGTGTACTTACTACCTGCAATACTCTCTCTGGCCTTCCAAAAAATCTCTTTTCTAAAGTCAGCCATGTTCCAGATTAGTAGAGTTGGGAACTAAAAATCTACGTCTTTGATCTAACCTAGGACTCTTATTTCTGTAACTAACATGACATTTTGTGTCTAAGACTTGGCGTGCATGCCAATTTTTGCAGTGTTCAGTTCCAGTGTTTGCTGTTCCTTGGGCAATGAATAGTTCTGGAATGTTACTTTTAAAGTTTTCTTCATGATTACTTTAAGTTTAATACCAATTTGAGCTCAACGTCTCTCTTCCTTTAACACCCTTTATTATTGACCAGACCCTCATCTTAAGTGGAATAATATTCAAAGCTCAGTTGGATTGAAAATTGTGAAATAGATAAGCCTCATTTCCTTAGCTTCATTACCATTGTCAAAGAAAAATCACGATCATAATAGATTTTCCTGGATTATACTAAAAAACTCATGTAGCTTAATTAAACCAATTTACTTTCTGGTAAATTTCTAGGTTAACTACTATTAAAAGGTGGTCATTTTTTTTCCCCAAAATTTACAAGTACAATCTGCATATACACGATTTTGAGAATAATTTAATTGTTTTGAAGATACAACGATGCTCTAATGTCATTATTTCAATGTAAAGAAACGGATCCTTACAAGACCAAAATAACCCACAGGCCATGAGGTTGGTTTTAACTTTCTCCTTTTGTTCGAACAACGTGTACCACAATGGCTCAACAAGTAAGGCAAATGCCATGAATAAGAAAGCTGCAGTTTACAATATACCACACCTAGAACCCCGGGGAGGCGAATCAGATAGAAGTGGTAGTCACACTAATGAAACAATCAGGTAACATCATGACAAATTGGTCTACAGCATCAAAACTGTCCAGTTAAGCTTCTCTCTTCTTAATGATCAGAGGTCCCACGTTGTCTCCAGTCTCTTCATTGTGTTTCGTGTGAGCTCCATCACAGAACGGAAACTAAGAAGAGAAAAGGAGGATGTAAGATGCTTTAATCACAAGATGAGTTTTGTATAATGAGACTGACACCCAAGGACAGTAGACGTGAGGGCCAGGAATACTGCCCCATAGCAGGAAGCCTGCCTCATGAGCTGGGGGAGAAGGTAGCTGGAATAGAGAAGGGGTCACTAAGACACTGATGGTTGGAAGAATTGTTCGGGATGGGAGACCTGTGTTGACGGGGCATGCTGGGGACACTGGTGGTGGGGAATGTGCACTGGTGGAGGCATGGGTGTTTCATCATTGTATGAATGAAACTCAAACATGAAAGCTTTGGAACTGGATCTCATGGCAATTCAATAAACAAAAGCAAAAACAAAAACACAAAATGAGTTTTGTATCTGGCAGACCAGGGACAACTCAATTCACATTTATCACTCCAAAGACTTTTTTTGGTTACCTAATATAAATTCTATTTATTTTGATGTTTGGACAACACTTGGTGGTGCACAGGATTTACCCCGGCTCTGCTTTAAGAGAGCACTCCGGTCAGGGCTCAGGATTGTCAAGGGGTGCTGGGTATCAAACTCAGGTTGGCTGCATGCAAGGCAAGTGCCCTAGCCACTGTACTATCTCTTCAGTTCCCCTGTAATAGAATTTTTCTTAAGAAGAATATGTTAAATACATTTGTAGACATTTTTTCTAGAAGTATTTTAATTTGACTTATTTTTTCATGCCCTTAATTCCTCTACTTTCAAATAAACAGGCCAATAAAGACTTTAAAAAAATTGGGGGGGGCACACTCAGCTATGCTTGGGGCTCACTCCATCTCTGTGCTCAGCAATCACTTCTGGCAGGGCTCAGGGGAACATAGGGGTCCCCAAGAATCGAACCTGGGTCAGTGACATGCAACCTAAGTACCCAACCTACTCTAGTCCTCTGCAGCCCCGTTCTTTATAAAGACCTTTGTGGAAACTTCTTCCTTCTAGAGAGGTGACAGATTTCCATTCCCTTCATGATTTTACATTTTTAAATAGCTAACAGTTTGGGGCTCAGTGGGAGAAAGTGGGAGACTTTATATTCTAGTACCTACTACCATGCCATTCTATACAGCACACCCTGCAAAGTGTTGCTTTGGGTTAGGTTCCTTGCTGAACTGTTACGCCTTTGCTAATAACTTTTTTCCAAAGTAAATCCCTCATATAGGATGAGTATTTATAGATTCTACATTTTGTTAAATCTTTCCTGTTTTTTGTCAAGAATCAAGAAAAATTTTTTTGTTGCCAGGCTTTGTGTGTGTGTATGTGTGCAGGGTGTAGCTGGGCAACACTTCAGTGCTCCTGGCTCTAGAGGGACCCTGAGGGAGTGCTTGAGAGAGCAGCATGCGACCCAAGAGCCTTGACCTCCTGCACTATTTTTCCTGTCCTCTTTTAACAGTCTTTATCCTCAGAGCTCATGCATACTCTTGTACACATCACTGGCTTTCACAGTACATTCTTCTTACTGTTAAATGCTAAAAACAAGATTCCACGATATTTCAGTCTCCTTAGGACTTTTACTTAGGAAAAGGTCCATTTTCAAGAAATTATTTTGTTTTGGTTGTTCTCTATGCCACTGGTTTTTATTTCATATCAAACTTTAATAACTACCATCTTAATTTTACTCCTGATGTCTTGAATGCAGTTACAGTCTAGAATCTGGAGTTTCATTGTTTAGGGAATGGCACACAGTGGATGGAAGAGTAACAAGAGCTGTGTAATAGGAATAGCGGACAAGATTAAGTCAATGCACTCCACAAAGGTAAAGAAACATAATTTTAGATGCCCGAATCTATACAATAACATATAATCTTAAATGCTGATATTAATAGTGTCAACTCTAAGATTAAAGTAGTATCTGGTAGTTTTTTTAATTTTTTATTTGTGAAACACCATGAGGTACAGTTGTAGACTTACAAATTTTTGTGCTTGGGTTTCAGTTATACAATGATTGAGTACCCATCCCTCCAGTATCTGGTAGATTTTTAAGAAATTTTAATCTTACTATCTGCAAACAATTAAGAGGCAGTAAATTACTTAAAAATTATAAACTCAAGGGGCTGGAGCAATAGCACAGTGGGTAGGGTGTTTGCCTTGCACGCGGCCAACCCGGGTTTGATTCCCAGCATCTCATATGGTCCCCTGAGCACCACCAGGGTTAATTCCTGAATGCAGAGCCAGGAGGAACCTCTGTGCATTGCCGGGTGTAACCCAAAAAGAAAAAAATATATATATATATAAACTCAAGATATCAGTATATCTTGCATTTCCAGGTATAAATTCTATCATGAACAGATATGAATTTAACTGTAAAATATATGAAACTTACATTACTCTTTTAATACCAGTATAACATGGAACACAGTACATACATTAAAAGTTAAGTCCTGGGCAGGAGAGACAGTACAGTGGGCAGGGCATCTGCCTTGAATGCCGACCCAAGTTTGAGCCCCAGCAGCTCACTGGTTCCCCTCAGCCTGCCAAGAGTGATCCCTGAATGCAGGGTCAAGAGTAAGTCCTGACCAATCTGGGGATATACCGTGGGGGTTCAAAACCACACAGCAGAAACACCATCTACGCTCCTATGTTCATTACAGCACTATTCACAACGGCCAGAATTGGAAACAACACGAGTTCCTGAGAACAGACAATGGACAAAGAAATTATAGCACATCTACATGATAGGATACTACGCAGGTGTTAGGAAAAATAAAGTCATAAATCTGCCTATAAATGGATGGACCTGGAGAGAACCACACTGAGTGAACTGAGTCAGAAGGAGAGGGGCAGATAGAGAATGACTGCATTCATTTGTGAGATATAAAATATACATACACACACACAGACACACAGGACTGCTATTCATGGCCAGGGAAAACAGGGGCTAGAAGAACTGGTCAGTGGCTAGAATCAACCACAAGTATGTGTGGGGCGGAGAGTAGGTAAGATAGTGAAGGGACCAGTATGACAGTAATAGCTGGGAATGATCGTGCTGGACAAGGACTTAGCTGCTGGACTCTCTCTGGCCCCAGAATCAGTAATTTCTTTATTGGGGGTTGGAGAGAAAGCGTATTTGGGCTGCACCTGGCAGTGCTCAGGGCTTGTTCTTGGCTTACTCAGGCATCACTCGTGATAGTGCTTGGAAGACTGCACTGGGTGCCGGGAATTAAGCCCATACTGGCTATGTGCAAGGTAAGTGCCCTACCAGCAGTACTGCTTTTTCTGGCTCCCTGTAATTTCAAATACATCTTAAGGGTTAATGAAATGCATATGACATTGATTTAAGATTCCCAATATATGATAACTAAATGAACGATAATCAGTTACTACAGAAATTCAAATAATAGTATTTGTAACATGATTTACGTCTTTATGGGCGTTTTATTTTATTTATAACTTTTCTATGCAGGATAAAGAAAATTTATGGTAGAGATATAGTTTTAATCATAACCTAAGAAGAACAGCATTTAAAAAATTAAATAATACAATGAAATTATGAGAATTTTTTAAATTTTTCATTTAAACTCTTAAATTTATTAAATTGTCAGAGCTGAGATCACATAAAGTCACAAAGGGCTTTTTTTTGTAAAAAAAAACAAAAACAAAAATTCAATTCATTTTTTATTAAACTTGTTTTAAAGATTAAGTAATGATTATAACAGGGTTAAAGTTTATGGTATTGATGTACAAAGTTGCTTTGCTCATCACCACCAAGTGTCCATGACCTTCCACCATGGTCCTTAAGTCATCTCTGGTCTCAACTTCATTCTCCTCCCCCACATTACTGTTTGTGACGATATTTTGTAATCCAAGGTCAAGGGCTTATCATTGTTGATAATATCTATCCCTTGTTTTTGCCCCTGTGTCCCACAGAGCAGTTACTTGATCTCCTTATGACCTATTTCATTTAGCATACTACTACCTTTCAGTTCCACCCAAATTGCAGTGGATTGCAGGATTTTATCTTTTCCTACAGCCACGGAATATTCCATTGTGCACATATATTCCTCTGCCCCTTTCGGAGAGCCCGGCAAGCTACCGAGAGTATCTTGCCCCCACAGCAAAGTCTGGCGAGCTCTGCTTTCTACTTGTAAAGTTAGTAAAATAAAGAGGATCTTTGCAAAACACACAAAATTCAAGTTACAATGTTTCTACTTCTAGGATGATTTACCATGAAAAGAAATGTTTTTCCTTGACTTCTCTTTTCTGTCTGTAATTAAAATATTTTTTTCCTTCCACAAATTTTGTGTTTTTCAACAGACTTTGGATCATATTTCCTAGGGAAATTGTCTGGTGCCATTTTTGCTCATTATCATGAACTGCTGAGAAATACGCTCCCTTTGGCTGAGTCAGAAAATAAAAGGGCTGGAGAAACAGCTCCATGGCTGAGCACACACTCTTCCTGCAGAAGGCTTGAGTTTCCTGAGCACTGCTGGGACTGACCCCTGAGTCCAGAGCTGGGAGTAGCCCCGAGGGGCAAATCCCTCCAAAACAAACAAAAGCAATGAGGTCGACAGCTCTGAGCTCTACAATACATCCCAGTAGGAGCACATCAAATTAGATGGGAAAGCGACATAAAAGCCAACTAAGCTCAAAAACAAAAACATTAACAGAGAAGGCCCGACCAGAAATGACAGCTTAGTAAACCTTCATACATGGACTTAATGTTACCATGGGGAGCTACAACAATTTTCACAAACATTTTTTTTTACGGAAGCATTTTTGATAATTCCATTAGCCATTTAGTTGTGACAGGCAACATACAATAAATTCTGGCCTGCTAAGGGGGCAGGCTTAGGGATGGTTGGGAAAACGGGGACACACTGGTGGCAGGTTTGCTGTTGGAATACCGAATGCCTGTAACAAATGCATCATGAACAACTTTGTAAAACATGGTTTACATAAATAAAGCAGAAAAAAAACGGAATTGTTTTGATGAAATGGAAGAAAAAAGCAACGAGATCATTGTGAATCAAAGAAAAT